GGGAGACAGAACCTTTTGAAAGAGGTGAAGAAGAAGAAGGAATTGAAACTTGAGGAATATAATAGAAGAGAAGACAAACAGAAAAGAAAGATAAGAGAAAAAATAAAAATAAAAATTATGTAATGCGTGTTCATAATTTATTTATAATATAACTTACTTACAATAAAACTTACTTACAATAAAAATATTATATAGTATAAAAGTAATAGTAAAGAAAAAATAATTTGTTATGAATTATATATATAGGTAAAAAATACAAATGTACAAATTATTTGTGTATATATTTGTTTTATAATTTATTTTTATATATCCTGTTTCATTATCATGTAAAATATTTGAACTATCTCATAAATTAATACATTTTCTTCTATGATTATTTTGGCAAGCAATTATTATTTGAACACAACTAATTAAAAATTTTTAGATTTGAAATAAACAAAAAGTAACTTAATTTTTCTTCTTATATCATTATTTTAAATATAACAAATATTTAAAGAATTAAAAGTAATTTACTTTTTTGTATATATATAATTCTTTTAAATATGTTTTTTTTTTCAAAATATAAGTTAATTTTGAAACAGTTATTTTGATTTATTGTAACTGTTATTGATTACTATTATATATTGAAAACTTAAATTGATACAAATGATCAATTAGAGATAAAATGTTGACATTGAATTGATTAATTGAAAATAAATAATATAGAAGATTTTGAATGGATAAATTTGGGTAGAAGTAAAATTATATAAAAAGAATAAAAATTTAGAATGTGAAAATGAAAGGTTTTTAGCAGTAATTATTATTATTATTATTATTATTATTATTATTATTATTATTTCTATGTTAAAAACTGCCATTTATGTTTAATATGATATAAAGATATATAATAGTACATAATTATATACAAAAATTAACACAAACTAATGTCCTATTTACTATTGTCATATTTCTTTTTTTAAACACAAATTTAATTTTTTTACCCTTCATTTATTTATCATTTTTACTCTCTATCTTATCATAAAAGATAAATTTGTCAATTTATACAAAAAAAGATAATTACCTAAAAAAATTGCGCAAATATACTTTAGGACAATTATAAATGGAGGGAGGGAGTATTATATGACAGTCTTAAATAACAAATATTACAATTTATTTGAATACAAATAAAAATATTACTCTTTTTTTCAGAATTATAGTCTTATATGTGTTAAAAAATATTAATATTATATTGATAATTAGTCAAAAGTATGAATAATTTATTTTTTTTGACATTCTAAGTGTATTATTGTAAAATATATTGATATTTATGTAATAATAATGAAAAATAAACATAATTTTATGTTGATATATATTTATGGAAATAAAATTATTATTTTGAGAAAAACAAAAAATGATAAATAAAATTATTATATTAAAATAAAAATAAAAATATATTAAAAAAATATATCTATATTTTTTATAAAAGTCTGTATTTTTCACTATTTTAAGTGATTATTTATAGAGTAATTTTTTTTAAAAAAAAGAAAAATAAATAAAGTGAGATATACACTTAATTTTGTATAAATAATTTTATATATTATCACAAAAATCATAAATAAATTTACATATAATATAAGTGTTGATGTACTTTTTCAACAAAAATAAAGTAAAATTCAAAGATATAGAAAATATCCTTAAACTTGATTAATTAGTGCCTGAGATTAGGAATCTCTAAACACTGTATGGTACAGAAAATAAACTGGAAAATAAAAGACTGAAATTTAAAGTGGTGATCCCCAAATCTGACTTTGCTTTGTTGAAGTTGATTGAAGATGCCTTGTCAAATGATGATCCAAATCCTTAAATATTCTTTGAAGAAACTGTACTGAAAACCGTCGCCCGAACGGTTATAACGTCTCCTTCCCAACCGTCTTCCAACCCTTCTCCTGCTGACACGTGTCCTCAGCAGACCAAAATTATCCCTATATTTCACTCTTTGAGCTGACTACAGACCTTCCGCCCTTTTAGCCCGACTGCCAATCTACAACAGTATGGGTCCGACTGCCAATCCTCCCGACTTGCAAACCATCTGACTTGTTTGAATTAGCTACAGACATCCCGACTAACAAACCACCCGATTTGTTGGTTCTGCCGCAGAATTCCGATCTGAGAACTTCCCGACCTGAGGACCTCCCGACTTGCGGACTTCCCGTCCTGAAGGCCACCCGTCTTGAGGACCTACCGACCAGAGGTCCTTCCGTCCTGATGACCTTCCGTCTTGATGACCTCCCGACCTGAAAACCTTCCGACTTGAGGTCTTTCCGTCTTGAGGACCTCCCGACCTGAAAACCTTCCGACTTGAGGTCTTTCCGTCTTGAGGACCTACCGACCTGAGGTCCTTCCGTCCTGATGACTTTCCGTCTTGAGGACCTCCCGACCTGAAGACCTTCCGACTTGAGGTTTTTTCCATCTTGAGGACCTACCGACCTGAGGACCTTCCGACCTGAGGTCTTTCCGTCTTGAGGACTTTCCGTCTTGAGAACCTCCCGACCTGAAGACCTTCCGACCTGAGGTCTTTCCGTCTTGTATTTTCCTTGATTTCCACACGGTGTCCTTCAGCCAGTTCAACCAACTCTATCGCCAGGCCCATTCTCCTTTTTACCTTGGGCTTTTAACCTAATTCTAAATTTCGTACGTAACAACTTGCCCGCCGCCAAGGGACTTTCAAACGCCATTTAACAATCAATGTTTGGAAGTTCATACATCACTACCCTCTTGAAAAATTCCCTTAGCAACTGCACCAGTTACTGCAACACTCCTGAGTAACTTCCTTCCCCGCAATACAAGCTTTTGTGAATCACAATCCCAAAACACTCTAACTATGGCGAATCAATACATTCCTGCCCTTCCTTTCGACGGAACCCTCCCAGAGGGCCCATTTTCAGCCTCGAAAGTACTAACTCCGACGATCCGCCCATATTGCACTACCCCTGAAGATTCAAATCGGATGAGGGAAGTTTTGGAATCTCGAAATTCCCTGGCTATCAACAACCCTAACTACCAAGCAATTCGCATTCGAGACAGCATCAAAACCCATCTCACAGACCCAAAAGATCCGTACCGCGCTTGGTATCGACGGGTAGCAGAACACTTCCAAACCCAATGGCGATCTCAAAAAATCGACCAGGCAATACTATTGTCCACCATGCCTATCAACCTGCATGAGAAGGTGCTGTTGGCCATGTCTGCCTTCTGGAATGCGGAAAATGGGACTTTCCTCTTACCATCGGGCCCCTTTGGTCCAACTCTTATGGATGTGGCAATGATCGCGCATCTCCCAGTCGTGGGTGAAGACCCTGTAATGGGAGCCCTAGATGGGCAGGAGCCATCAGAAGACCATCCAGGATGGTCTTTACAAGGTGTGAAGGAATGGGGTTGGACAAAGTTCGCAACCGACCAGCAAGGGGCTCCAGGGACCCCTGTGACCGACCGGGAGCATACCGCCTTTATTCTTTTTTGGCTTTGTAGGTACGTCATTGTTTCCCCTTCCAAATGTGTTCTTCCTTCTCATCTCGACCTGGCCATTCATATCGCGTCAGGTCGGTTCTTCTCCCTTGGCACCCTGTTTTTAGCCAATCTGTTTGAAGGACTCACCAGGGTTAGCCTTCGTTTAACAGATAACGATAATAGGAAATTAGACACTGCCGCGTCGGGTCCTTTTTGGTTTTTAGAACTTTGGTTTCGTCTTTACTTCCCTAACGCGTTTAACTTAGGATCTCCGCCCACTATGCCAACATCCGAAAAACATTTGGGATTAGCCCTCAACCGACTCTGCTCAGGACGCAATAAACTCCAATCTTCCGATCCAATAATAACCGCAATTATAACGGATACCCGCAGTAACTCTCGATTTTCTATGTATAAAAAATATGCGGGTTATGCTCCCGACCATTTTTGGCCCTTTCCAGCACCAAATCCTCTTCCGACTCCTGAGCCTTGTCCTCATCCCACCTATCCTTTTGCCTGGGACGTTGCCCTCAAACCCAGGTCTCTTTTTAGTAGCAAAAAACTTGATAAAAAGGGGCAGAAAACCTTTTACACTTTTAATTATGAACCTCAATTCATGGCGCGCCAGTTCGGCTGTTGCCAAGGTATCCCTGGACCCGTCGCGTGTCCGCATATAATTTTTCAAAGCCCTGACCGACGAGTCCTACCGAATTCAATCCCTTCTTATATCTCCCAGCTCACCACGTATATAATTTCCAATTCTTATATTCCTTTCCGCTCCAACCCTGAGACTGTAGAAACATTCAATGAATGGTGGTCGGTTGTATGGCCCCTGATTTCCCCTGATGAGGGTCGGTTGCTGAACATGCTCCTTCCCCCCCAAGGATTGGTTCTAGGGGCGGCTAGACACACTAGCACCCAGCCACAAACAGCCGCCCCGGGGACCGGATCTAGTGTTCCAATACGAAAAAGGAAAGCTTCCCAGCTGCAAACACCCCCGACCTCTGGGGCCGACCAGCAAGCTCGAGCGGACCTTGGAACCACTAGGACATCAGCAAGGACCCGACCCCGAATAGGTAATTTTTCTTAAAACCGTGAACCAATTCACTATATCTTAACTTTGATTCCACCTATTTCATTCACCAGAACCGACCTTGGTGGCACCGACCTCACAAACGACGCCAGCGCCAGCCGACCATTCAATCGGGCCTTTGGTCCAGACCAATTTGCCAATGAGCAGTCGGGCGGAGGACCCGACGAGGAGGCAAACTCTTCTTCCCGTACCGAGGAGTGGTCGGGCCAGGCACCCGACCAGGAGGCAATCTGTACCAGCAGTGCCTATAGAACCAGTAAGTTCTCTCATCAGCAATACTTGGGATTCTAATGACCAACCTTGATATATTTAACAACAACTTTTCCATGATTTTTCACAGACACCTTCACCCATCGCATCAGCAGCAGGGATATCTTCTGACAGCGAGGGGACTACTTCCCAGATGGGTCGACCGCCATACATGGCATCAGACTCATCCATTTCAAAGGAAGGACCAACTGCCCATGCCGAAGCTGACCCTCAAGATGACATCCTTGATGCTGCTGATCTTGAAATCGTCCAATTGGGTGCAGCCGTGCCGGAAACCGAAAATGCCCCAGCTGCGGCTATCTCAGGTGCTCCAGAGATCCCGGCTGCAGCGGCTCTAGATGCAGCCGCCCAACCTGCAGCCGCCCAGCCAGCAGCGGCACTCCCTCTAGCAATCGAGTGGCAGGCAGAAGAACCACCTGTGGCAGCCCAACCTCCAGAAATGGAAGAAGTGTCTTCATCCGATTCGGAGACTTCTGTGAATTTGGTAAGATTAAACCAATCCATGCTACAATGTTTCTTTCAGAAAACACTAACTGTTTTATATACTACTCTCCATAGGGACCCAGGTCGGCACCTCAGCGACCATTCGCAGCAGCCGACGAGTCGGCTGCTGTTATACCAGCTGTCTGCCCTACTCGACCGACCTCATTGCTGCCCCCCTCACTGACAGCAGTCCGCCCAGAGGTAACACATATCTTATCTGAATAAATTTGCACCTCCCTTGGAATACTTATTGACATTGTAGGACTTGCAGGGGCCTTCGGACTTAGCTGTCCTATCGACTGTTCCGGTTCCGGCGGAGGCCCGAACTATATTCACTGAGGCCATTAACCATCCCCTGTCAGAATTAAGCTCCGACTTATTGGACAGACTCATTCAGACGGTTGGTGGCCTTCTTTTTTACACTCCGACGGAATCGCCAGCCGTCCCCATTCTGCATCGGCTGATGGAAAGACTTACGGAGCTCAAGACTGAAGTACTAGTCATTGGACTCCTGTCAGCCGAAACCCCCCAGCCCGACTTCGATCAAACAACACTGGAGAATTCTTTGGCCAAGACCCGAGAATCCCTTCAGCAAACTACTGGACGGCTGGGCGGTCTCCTTAGCACGAAGGCTCAAGTCGATGATGCCATTCAGAAAAAGGAGGCAGAATTGCGGGAGCTAAGGAAAGAACAGTCTACCCTGGATAAGCAAATTACCAATGAGCAGCGTCTGCTTGAGAGGTATACCAAGAATGAGGCTGAATTGGATCAAGAGCTGAAAACCCAAGCCCGATCCCAATTCATCATAAGATATCAGACGGCTGCCAATACCAGAAGGCTATCCAGGGATGAAATCAAGTGGACACATATAAAAACTGCCCTAGGGGCACTTTTGTAACACTTCCCCCCCTGTAACAACATTTGACCTAGTAATATATATTTTTTCCTACTTCTCCCAAAACAAGGATCACCTTTTCAATTTCCAACTTTATAGGAATCGCAACAAACTCCTTCCTTTAAAGAACACTGTTTCTCACATTTTAAGAAACACATTCTAAGGCATATTTCGAAAACCAAAACACTTGAAGTGTTAACAAACATGGCGAATGACCGACCTCATGTTCCATCCAGCAACTGGGAAGGTGTTCTTCAACCCTTCTTTGTAGGTAATCACCCTATTGGAGGCCATGCAGAAGACTTGTTACATATACTCAAGCAACTAGACTTCAAATTCCGATTCTCCCAACGAGGAAGAAGAACCATTCATCGCGTCATCCGCCTGATGGAAAAAAGTCATTGAGGGGTATGAACCTCTTCGTGACATCCTTAGCCGCATTCCTGATCTCCATCATCACATGGAAATGATCGAAAATCACGCAGCAACCATACTTCCAGATCTTGGTTGGGATAATATATTTTCCAATCAACGAAAAGTCTTTTCAAGATTGCGCACCATTGTTGACCGTGAACATCAAGCCCTAACAGACATGCAAGCACGTACCCATCAAGATCTAGACGACATGCAAAGCCAATGGGAAAGGTACCGACCAGATTTGGAAGATCTTATTGAAGAAGAACCAGAGCTAATATCCACTCACTGGGATGAAAAGTCTGATTCAGAGGCAGAAAATTTCTCACAAATACATGATGACTAACAGAAATGAACCTTTAAATAGGTTCGCACCCGAACCCCATAAATGGGTTCTGAATAATATTTTGCTTCAGGCAGTTTTGTTATCTGAAAAGGCAGGATAATACCTCTTCAGATATTTAGCATTGATACAATCATGTACTCTTCTTCCTTCATGATTTACAATAATGAAAGCGCCATTCCCAATATCTTTTTGCACAATGTATGGTCCTTCCCAATTCGGTGACCACTTTCCCAATTGGTCCGTTTTCTTATATGTAGGAAGAATGGTCTTCCAGACTAGGTCTCCTTTTTGGAATGTCCTGTGAAGAACTTTCTTTCCATAACTCCTTGCTCTGATTTCACTCTGTTTCACACTTCACCCTATTGCATGGAGTCGGTTAACATCCAAATCCTCTAACTGTTGCAACATAAGTTGTTGGTATTCTTCTGTAAGACCACCATCAGTAAATTCTGTTCGGCCAGATGATACTCGGATTTCGGCTGGTAAAACAGCATCTTGGCCAAACGTGAGTTGGTAAGGTGAGAACCCTGTGGCCGTATTTCTGGTATTCCTATGTGCCCATAAAGCCTGAGACAATAACAAATGCCACTTTCTTGGGTTCCCTTCAACCATCTTCTTTATAATCCCAATAATAATCTTATTTGCTGCTTCCGCTTGTCCATTGGCTTGGGGATAATAGGGTGAAGAATGATGTAATCGAACACCGAATTCTGCCAAGAAATTAGAAAACTTTTCCCCTGTGAAAACCAGACCTTGGTCGGTTGTTATAGACTGAGGAATACCATATCTGTAAATAATTTGATTCAAAACGAAGTCTATCACCTCCTTCTGATCTACATTTTTCAAAGCAACCGCTTCTACCCATTTGGTAAAGTAGTCAGTCGCGACCAATATGAAACAATGATGTTTCGATGAAGCAGGATGTATCTTACCAATAATATCCATAGCCCATGATTTAAAAGGCCATGGTTTTGCCAAAAATTGCAATTCGGTTACTGGCAAATGGTTTAAATTCCCATGTCTCTGACATTCCTGGCAGCCTTTGGCAAATTGTATGCAATCTTCAAAAATCTTTGGCCAGAAAAAACCCAAACGATGGATGGCCCATCTCATATTCAGACCTGCTCGATGAGCTCCACATATCCCACCATGTACTTCTGTCATTACCTCTAGAGCTTCTTTAGACCCCAAACATTTCAAAAGTAAACCTTCAAATGATCTCTTATACAAAATTCCATTAATCAATTGAAAACGTAAAGCTTTCAATCGTGTCGCAATCGAAACACTCGCACCTGGATTCTGTAAATACATGATAAGCTCTGTTCTCCAATCGGGCACTGTTTCGCCGTCGGACTCCTGCCCGATAGTAACTACGCAGTCGGGCTTCTGTCCAACAATAACTTCGCAGTCGGGCTCCTGACCGACAGTCTCCTGCCCGACAACTTCGCAGTCGGGCTCCTGTCCGACAATCTCCTGCCCGACCGTAACTTCGCAGTCGGGCTCCTGCCCGACAATCTCTTGCCCGACCGTAACTTCGCAATCGGGCTCCTGTCCGACAGTCTCCTGCCCGACCATTCGGTCACATGTTGGGTCTGTCTTTTCTTCTATGCCCGACTTGACCTCCGACCAAATATCCTCCAGAATTCCTTTACAGGCCCTTTGAGCCAATTCATCAGCACGTTGGTTTTCTTTCCTCGGAATGAACTCAATTATTACTTCTGAGATTTTTGTCAATAACCGACCCACAATGTCCCTGTATCTGCGAAGATGAGGGTAATTGCAAACATATTGATTGTTTACCTGGTTGATTACTAATTGAGAGTCCCCCCTTATGATTACAGACTGGACCTTCCTGGCTATTAAAGCCTCCAAACCCAAAATTAAAGCTTCATATTCTGCCGAATTATGGGTCATGGCTTCCAATCGTAGTTGTAAGTTGATCTTCTGACCGTCAGGTCCTTGCAAAAAGACCCCTGCCCCTGATTTGTTTCCAGAGGTAGAACCATCAAAGAACATCAACCATGTTCTGGTACTTATATAAGGCACACATCCAACCTGTAGATTATCCAGATATGATGAACAACTAAATGGTCGGACACTATCACAAAGAGAATACCCGACTTGTGAAAATTCTGCTAAGAAGTCGGCTACTGCTTGTCCCTTGATTGCCCTCAGCGGGGAATGTTGAAGATCAAAAGGAGCCAATTTGATGGCCCACTTCATGAGTCTGCCCTTCATAGTAGGTCTCTGTAAAATCAATTTGATGAGATCCACCTTTGATATGACCTCAACTCTTCTGGGCAGCAAATAATGCTCGAGTTTAGTACAAGCGAAGACCAATGAATAACACATTTTTTCTGGCATGCTGGTTGTTCATTTGTTGAACATAAGACCACCAATCAGTTGGTGGTTGTGGGATTTCCCCGGCATTTGGCACAATAGGTGGTGGAACGGATTCTCCCACCGGTGCTGAAGATGATTGTGGTTGTGAACCTGCCATATGGACCCTTCCGATGATTCGGCCGGATCTAAGACGTATGAAATTATCGCCGGAATTGGAATGAGCAATTGTGTCTTGCTCCCACTGTGGTCGCCAATTTGTTGATGTACTTTTTCAACAAAAATAAAGTAAAATTCAAAGATATAGAAAATATCCTTAAACTTGATTAATTAGTGCCTGAGATTAGGAATCTCTAAACACTGTATGGTACAGAAAATAAACTGGAAAATAAAAGACTGAAATTTAAAGTGGTGATCCCCAAATCTGACTTTGCTTTGTTGAAGTTGATTGAAGATGCCTTGTCAAATGATGATCCAAATCCTTAAATATTCTTTGAAGAAACTGTACTGAAAACCGTCGCCCGAACGGTTATAACGTCTCCTTCCCAACCGTCTTCCAACCCTTCTCCTGCTGACACGTGTCCTCAGCAGACCAAAATTATCCCTATATTTCACTCTTTGAGCTGACTACAGACCTTCCGCCCTTTTAGCCCGACTGCCAATCTACAACAGTATGGGTCCGACTGCCAATCCTCCCGACTTGCAAACCATCTGACTTGTTTGAATTAGCTACAGACATCCCGACTAACAAACCACCCGATTTGTTGGTTCTGCCGCAGAATTCCGATCTGAGAACTTCCCGACCTGAGGACCTCCCGACTTGCGGACTTCCCGTCCTGAAGGCCACCCGTCTTGAGGACCTACCGACCAGAGGTCCTTCCGTCCTGATGACCTTCCGTCTTGATGACCTCCCGACCTGAAAACCTTCCGACTTGAGGTCTTTCCGTCTTGAGGACCTCCCGACCTGAAAACCTTCCGACTTGAGGTCTTTCCGTCTTGAGGACCTACCGACCTGAGGTCCTTCCGTCCTGATGACTTTCCGTCTTGAGGACCTCCCGACCTGAAGACCTTCCGACTTGAGGTTTTTTCCATCTTGAGGACCTACCGACCTGAGGACCTTCCGACCTGAGGTCTTTCCGTCTTGAGGACTTTCCGTCTTGAGAACCTCCCGACCTGAAGACCTTCCGACCTGAGGTCTTTCCGTCTTGTATTTTCCTTGATTTCCACACGGTGTCCTTCAGCCAGTTCAACCAACTCTATCGCCAGGCCCATTCTCCTTTTTACCTTGGGCTTTTAACCTAATTCTA